TATATATATATATATATATATATATATATATATATATATATGCATACATATTAGGCTCATCCAACCACTTGCGCTGGATGGTAGAGCGATAGTCTCGCTTCATGCAGGTCGGCGTTCAATCCCCGACCGTCCAAGTGGTTGGGCACCATTCCTTCACCCCGTCCCATCCCAAATCCTTATCCTGACCCCTTCCCAGTGCTATATTGTCGTAATGGCTTGGCGCTTTTCCCGTTAGTTCCCTTCCCTAGGCTTATATTGAAGTCTTCCCCAAAGTCTACTAACTTCTGGGTGCTTATTTACTGCTAGGTGAACAGAAGCATTAGGTGATATGACAACCTGTTTTCTTTTATAGCACGTCGGAGTTTAACCGACTCTTAAGGCAAAAAAACTGATATACAAGAAAATGGTAGCAGCTCGAGAAATTGACATAATGTCCCATTTTCTGTTCGTGGGTCCTCTGCTTGGTTAGGTTAGGGCACTTAAGTACGATAAATTATTGACGTTAGGAACGCTGGCGACAACTGGATGAATTTAAGACCAAATTAATGGCTTTAAAAATTTTAAACTAGGTAAAAACTCGTAGTTTATCTAAGGAAGTGATGGTTCCAATGCAGTCGCACGGATAACACTAAAGTAGATCAATATGACTTCTAAAAGGGCACATTTATTTAAAAATATATAAATTTAAAGTTAAAATAATTATATTAATAACTGGCCATCTGGTCTCTATTAACAAGAGAGAGAGAAGTAAGTGAATCTGCAGCATTTTCAGTAAAATTCTTCATTTTATAAGAATAAACAGTAATAAGGGAAGTAATAGTTAGAAGCAATAGGAGAATAAAAGTAATAGTTAGATTCAGCTACTCGGAACGAAAAGTTGCAAGTAGCACGGGCTATGGTGAGCCCGTAGTGGACTTACCTGGCACAGAAGCAGTGATGTAACTTGCCTGATTTGGTTTGGTACTGGGCTTAAGGCCTATCAACCTTTGGTGGGTTAATAAAATCACCACAATTGATTACTGACCAACCAGCAAGTATATTTTAGTCCTGAATATAGTCCAGGAGTCAAGTAAACTCTCAGATGAAATTGTTTATGTAATAATCTAAGATGAGGTCTAATAAAGACCTTTTGTGCCCTCTACTCACCTAGTTGTACTCACCTAGTTGTGTTTGCGGGGGTTGAGCTCTGACTCTTTGGTCCCGCCTCTCAACCGTCAATCAACGGTAATGCTTTTTGCGCTACCGCTCACAGGATGGGTATGGGGTGCACAATAAACTAGCCTCCTCCGGCGGCAACAATTAATCAAAACAATCTCAGTGTATATGTATATGTGTAGAAGTTGGTTAAACCTCTAGGTATACAGCATAATAATTTATTGTCGGGGGACAGGCAGCCAGTATATATACATATTAGGCTTATTCCGAAGTCTTCCCAAAAGTCAACAAGCTGACTATAACTCCTGGGTGCTTATTTACTGCTAGGTGAACAGGTGCATTAGGTGATATGGCAACCTGTTTTTTCTATAGCATGTCGGATTTTGACCGACTCATAAGGCAAAAAACTGATATACAAGAAAATGGTATCGGCTCAAGAAATTGACATAATGTCCCATTTTCTGTTCGTGGGTCCTCTGCTTGGTTAGGTTAGGGCACTTTAGTACGATTGATTATTGACGTTAGGAACGCTGGCGACAAATGGATGAATTTAAGACCAATTTAATGGCTTGAAAATTTTTTACACTTACGTAACCTATACCTGACATTTGTAGTGATGGTTCCAATGCAGTCGCACGGATAACACTGAAGTAGACCAATATGAGTTCTAAAAGGGCACATTTATTTAAAAATATATAAATTTAAAGAATTTAAAATAATTGTATTAATAAGTGGCCATCTGGTCTATGTAAAGAAGAGCGAGAGAAGTAAGTGAATCTGCAGTGTTTCCAGTAAAATTCTTCATTTTATAACAATAAAAATAATAAAAGAACTAGTAAGTTTGTTCGACAGCTTCACCACGCTCTAGGCAAGCCTTGTTGTATTATGGTATTCAGAACTGTCGCCATGCTGAACCTCGAGATTAATTCTCTGATATAAATGACACTAACAACGCAAGGAGCACTCAAACAAATTGAAAATTACTAATAATCCAACAGACAATATACATGAACAAATCCACAAGGGCCGTGATGAGGGTTCGAACCTACGTCCGAAAGGATCCCCAGACGCGCCTTAATCGACAATATACATCTTGGTATATATCTAGCCAACATACATCAATATACAACAGTGAAAAGAAATATAAGAAACATAGAGAAAATTTGTGTTAGAATTATTAATCTTACTTTTTCGATCTTATTTAATAATATATGTCTACAGAAAAGACTGCTACCAAAATATGCTAATCTAGCCTATATATATATATCTATGATAATTTTAACCCGTTTGTGTTTTCCTGTGAATTTTGGGATATATTATAAGCAATGTAATACTAATTAATATTTTTGTGACATTTGAAAAATCAGATTTTATGCAAATATTCAGCCCATCTTCCTGTTTTGGTAGTACTTATAGTAACGATGAGGACCATACCTTGGAGTTGTTCCGGGGCTTAGCGTCCCCGCGGCCCGGTCGTCGACCAGGCCTCCTGGTTGCTGGACTGGTCAACCAGACTGATACCTGGTTGTTGATCTTGTTGTTGAGACTGTTGGACGCGGCTGCTCGCAGCCTGACGTATGAGTCACAGCCTAGTTGATCAAGTATCCTTTGGAGGTGTTTATCCAGTTCTCTCTTGAACACACCACCACTATAGTACATGTATTGACCTAAAAGGCAATTAGAAAGTAGAAAACTACTATTGAATGTGGACAAAATCAGAATTATTTTGTACTGAATTTGTAAAGAAAACATAACCAAGCCTAAACTTACCTTCCTGGACCTAATGCACGCTATCTGAGGCCTAATATAGTACATATGTGCTATAATAGGCCTAGGAATATGTAAGTTTGGTTTTAGCTATATTTTTTCGGTCTATAAAGAGAATAGTACCAAATTCTACTTTCTAATTGTTAATTACGTCAGTGTCTGAACGATAGTCCACAAACTTGCAAAAAAGTCCTATCAAAACAGAAGGCTATCTTGAGATGATATCGGGGCTTAACGTCCCCGCGGCCCGGTCCTCAACCATGCCTTCTTTTTTGTTACACACACAGAGAGGAAGCAGCCCGTAGCAGCTGTCTAACTCCCAGGTACCTATTTACTGCTAGGTGAAAAGGGGCATCAGAGGGAAAGAAACTCTGCCTATTTGTTTCCGCCTGGGATCGATCCCCGGACCACAGGATTACGAATCCCAAGCGCTGTCCACTCAGCTAGGTGTGTGTGTGTGTGTGTGCGCCGGGACATCACACTGTTCCACTGTATGGTGCTTTGAGATTCAGCTACTCGGAACAAAAGGTTCCAAGTAGCACGGGCTATGGTGAGCCCGTATGTATGGTGCTTGGCTGCGTTTGTTTATTAAGTCAAAGTGAGTACTAAGAGACCAAGACTTTAACAATAGCCTGATTTTGATCGGTAGCTCTGGTGTTGGGGAAAAGGCTTACCAATCGTGAATGAGTCGAAGCCACCGACATAGCTTAGTGACCAACTAATAAGTGTTCATTAATCCAGTTTTAATATAACTGAGTGTATATACACCGAGGACCTCAGTACAAATTTATAAATAACTTATTCGTTACTTATCAAGTAAATTCAACTACGTACTTGAATGGAGTAAGATTTTTTTATCACTTGTAGCACCACGCCCCAAATACAGAGGTAGGATGAATGCTTAATCTGGCCTAAGCATTACTCTAACTGGAATTTCACCGGTTTTCACAAACCTTTGTTTACAACAGCAAGTTTAATCATCGCAGCATAGCTCACAGCACCGCTCCTGTGCCAGGTAAGTTACGGGCTCACCATAGCCCGTTCTACTTGGAACTTGTTCCAAGTAGCTGAATCTATAACAACAACAACGTAGTCATCGACTTAGAGCGGAGATATGCGATTTCGTGGTGACTTCTTAGTATGGCAACGTTTGCGTTTGTAAAATTTACTTCAGTGTGTGGTCTAACGAAAATAATTTTATATAGGAGGTCCGTCAGCAGAAAAGTTTGAGGCTCATTGAGTTGGAGAACAGCCTAAGGGAATGTGTGTGTGCTCCTTGTTGGCGTATATGTTTCTCTCAATTAATCTTTCTCTCTCTTTTCCCCTGCCATTCCCTCCCTACTCTCTCTCATCTCTCTCTCTCTCTCTCTCTCTCTCTCTCTCTCTCTCTCTCTCTCTCTCTCTCTCTCTCTCTCTCTCTCTCTCTCTCTCTCTCTCTCTCTCTCTCTCTCTCTCTCTCTCTCTCTCTCTCTCTCTCTCTCTCTCTCTCTCTCTCTCTCTCTCTCTCTCTCTCTCTCTCTCTCTCTCTCTCTCTCTCTCTCTCTCTCTCTCTCTCTCTCTCTCTCTCTCTCTCTCTCTCTCTCTCTCTCTCTCTCTCTCTCTCTCTCTCTCTCTCTCTCTCTCTCTCTCTCTCTCTCTCTCTCTCTCTCTCTCTCTCTCTCTCTCTCTCTCTCTCTCTCTCTCTCTCTCAAGGGACGAACCGAAAGAGTAGGTATGTGTGTGTGTGTGTGTGTGTGTGTGTGTGTGTGTGTGTGTGTGTGTGCTCTCAACAAAGGCCCCAGACGGCTCATTAAGGAACACAGCCTCAAAGCAAGACTTGAGACCACTCTCAGACCCGCCGCCCGGGGCCCACATCTCTCCTTCACTTCCCACTCAGTCACAGTCAACACTCTGACTGTCTGGAAAGTCACCGCTCCAGAAATTTCATAAAAAACTTTATCAGCCAGTCCATACTAACTGTAGCAGCAGTAGTGGGGTCCATACTAACTGTAGCAGCAGTAGTGGGGTCCATAATAACTGTAGCAGCAGTAGTGGGGTTCAAAATAACTGTAGCAGCCAGTAGTGGGGTCCATACTAACTGTAGCAGCAGTAGTGGGGGCCATACTAACTGTAGCAGCAGTAGTGGGGGCCATACTAACTGTAGCAGCAGTAGTGGGGTCCATAATAACTGTAGCAGCAGTAGTGGGGTTCAAAATAACTGTAGCAGCAGTAGTGGGGTTCAAAATAACTGTAGCAGCAGTAGTGGGGTCCATACTAACTGTAGCAGCCAGTAGTGGGGTCCATGCTAACTGTAGCAGCCAGTAGTGGGGTCCATACTAACTGTAGCAGCAGTAGTGGGGTCCATACTAACTGTAGCAGCCAGTAGTGGGGTCCATACTAACTGTAGCAGCAGTAGTGGGGTCCATGCTAACTGTAGCAGCCAGTAGTGGGGTCCATACTAACTGTAGCAGCAGTAGTGGGGTCCATACTAACTGTAGCAGCAGTAGTGGGGTCCATAATAACTGTAGCAGCAGTAGTGGGGTCCATACTAACTGTAGCAGCAGTAGTGGGGTCCATACTAACTGTAGCAGCCAGTAGTGGGGTCTATACTAACTGTAGCAGCCAGTAGTGGGGTCCATACTAACTGTAGCAGCCAGTAGTGGGGTCCATACTAACTGTAGCAGCCAGTAGTGGGGTCTATACTAACTGTAGCAGCCAGTAGTGGGGTCCATACTAACTGTAGCAGCCAGTAGTGGGGTCTATACTAACTGTAGCAGCCAGTAGTGGGGTCCATACTAACTGTAGCAGCCAGTAGTGGGGTCCATACTAACTGTAGCAGCAGTAGTGGGGTCCATACTAACTGTAGCAGCCAGTAGTGGGGTCTATACTAACTGTAGCAGCCAGTAGTGGGGTCCATACTAACTGTAGCAGCAGTAGTGGGGTCCATACTAACTGTAGCAGCAGTAGTGGGGTCCATACTAACTGTAGCAGCAGTAGTGGGGTCCATACTAACTGTGACCCCCCCCCCTCCTCAAGCCTACCACAAAGCCCTCAACAAAAGTGTCCGAAAATTTGCTCCTAATTTTTCATGCCTCAATCAGTACATGAATAGAATGACCATTACATATTTTCCCCCCTCGCTGTCTCCCCTCTCGCCCTATTCCCCTTGTTCGTCCTCTTCTCTTATTTTCTATCCCCCCTTTTCCACTCTTTCCTTTATCCTCTCTTCCTGCTTACATTTCCTTCTGATTCTCAATTCATTCTTCCTCATCTCTCGTCCATCTCGGTCATCCATAGACACCCTCTTCCTTCCTGCTCTCTCCTCTCCCTTCTCTCCTATACGTCTAGGATCCCATAACAAGCAGCTGTAGGGAACACATAACAGAGAAACATCAATGTCTCTTGTAAAGCGCGCGGCGGACCCTTGGCCCGGACGCGAGGCTATTATTGACCATTCTGGCTACTATGTTCAGTGGTGTGTGTGTGTGTCCTCAGTGGTCATGGCCAGCCTGGAACACTGTCAGCAGTGTATACGTCCACTGTGGTCTCTGGCAGCAGTGTGTACGTCCACTGTGGGCTCTGGCAGCAGTGTGTACGTCCATTGTGGTCTCTGGCAGCAGTGTGTACGTCCATTGTGGTCTCTGGCAGCAGTGTGTACGTCCACTGTGGTCTCTGGCAGCAGTGTGTACGTCCACTGTGGTCTCTGGCAGCAGTGTGTACGTCCATTGTGGTCTCTGGCAGCAGTGTGTACGTCCGCTGTGGTCTCTGGCAGCAGTGTGTACGTCCGCTGTGGTCTCTGGCAGCAGTGTGTACGTCCGCTGTGGTCTCTGGCAGCAGTGTGTACGTCCGCTGTGGTCTCTGGCAGCAGTGTGTACGTCCACTATGGTCTCTGGCAGCAGTGTGTACGTCCACTGTGGTCTCTGTCAGCAGTGTGTACGTCCACTGTGGTCTCTGGCAGCAGTGGAAATCAGCAGTTCTCAGTGTCAGCAGTGAACGATAATATTTCGAACTGCAGTGTCTTCCAAGGTCAGTGAATATCTGATCTTGGTCAGTAGTCAGCAAAGTACTATGCATTATACCTTAGTCAGTACTATATACGTTATGCAGTAGTCAGAACTATACAATATGCCTTAATCAGCCCTTCGGGAAGCCTAGCAGCCACAACAAGCTTGAATAATGTTAAATCAATGTTATAAACATTGTTTTATTGTTACATCACCGTTTTTACCTAGATTTACCCCGAGGGATTTATGAGAAAATGATAACGAAACAATGAATTAACGTTAAAAAGTTGATTAAACGTTACCAAAGCATGTTTTGCAATCTGGACTAGGCTGTTACCTGACGCCATCGACGGAACCAGTCCGTCCTTCTAAGGTTTCTCAACGTTATTCCTCCTAATTCCCCTCATCAACTCCCCCGTTCATCAACTTATGTTTACCTGTTCATCAACTTTCCCTCCCACCCACTTCCCAACTAACAACCCCCCCTTCCTTCCCTCCCCCCTCCCGTACCTTCCCATCCGTCCCATCAGGAAGATAAAGAGAGCAGCGCCAGTAATAACATCAGCCTCGTGGACCAATTATAACCCCCAAAGTGAAACATTAATTATCTAACAGGCTGAAGTGTCGCGCCTCGCTGACCAATCACAAAAGAGAATTTCATCGTTGCCAGAGAAAGGTGACATTATTATTTTTCAAAAATAAACAAATATTATATATATATATATATATATATATATATATATATATATATATATATATATATATATATATATATATATATATATATATATATATATATATAGGGGGGTACCACCACTGGTGCAATTATAGGGACCCACAGCCTCAGAGAAGGGAACACAGAGCACTCAGGGAAAAACTTGACATTTAACTCTGAATACGAAAGAGTGTTCACTTCTCCTACCACCCCCTTTTTTTTTTATTATGATGTACACTTTATTATGCAAGGTTATACAGTTACATATCTGATTTTATACAAAAAATGAACATTAAGAGGACACAAGAAAAAGTTCGCTTCCTAGAGGCTGTAGATTTCCTCGAACTCCTCCGACGCCGGGCAGGAACCGAGGATGCAGCGAGCATTCCCCCTCTGGATCGCGACACTGAGGCGCTGAAAGAGAAAACTTGCTGCTCTAGGGTCTCTTGTGGTGTCAATGAGCTTGGAACCAAGATCCTTAAGAAACCTTCTTGCACTCTCACCCCATGGGCCTAGGGTCTCAGACCCTATTGGAACGAAGTTGTACTTTTGATCTAATTGCCTGTACTTGACTGACTTGTTTTTCTCTGTGTGTCGCTGCGGCTCCTGCTTGGCCGGCAGAGAGGTTGATGTATGTCGTTGCCAGGGTGGATACGCAAGTATAGTCCCATGCTAACTGCCTGCCACCCTTCCACGGACGCAGTGTGATTCCGTCTGGTCGGCCGGCAAAGCTAACAGAGTCACGGTTCAGTAGGTTGCGGGGCTCTCTCTCCGCTGGACACTGAGCAGAGGCAAGGCTTCTTTTAATGATGTCGTTGACTTCGTCGTGTCTAGTGTGCCAACCACCCGATTTTCCACAGTGCAGGCCATGCAATCCATATTCGTCAGCATCTGCCTCGCCGCAAATACACCTGTGAACAGTGTGGATAGGGGCAGCAAGGCGGAGAGCGACTGCAATACGGAGCTCCTGCGGATCAAGACGTGTGCCTGTCGCAGACATAGGGACTGCCAGAAGGAAGTCCCCTGCATGGGGAGCCTGCACAGCTGTGAGGCGTGCACGATCACTGGGGGTTGTTGCTGCCTCCAGCAAAGCTGTGGCTTCTTTGTCTACAATGGGGCTGTCCCAACTGGATTGTTTCTTGGCTTTCGGCATGGCTGGTCTGAGTGCTGGGTCTGTCATGGCACCCCATTTCGTGTCGCATTCCGTGTAGTGGGGGTCCTGTATCCCCGCTACATCACTCAGGGTGTCAGGTAGAATTTCCTTAACCAGGTCATCTGATGCTGAGGAGGAAGACAGGAAGGCTGGGACAGCAATTTGGGTGGCGGTGCGGACACCCAAGCCACCGAGCCTGACAGGAAGAGTGGCTTGTTTCCACTGGCATTCGTTGAGGGAGAGGTTAACAACTTTTTCCAGCATGGTCTTCAGTAGGAGGTCATACTCGTCAAGCTTTGGGTTGTTGTAAGATGGGGCGCACCTCAGAAAGTAGGTTAGCCTCGGAAGGGATAGGCATTTGGTGAGGAGATAAAAAGCATCGTGGGCATCGATGTCACCTATTCTGTCTTCCATCCTCCTAAGGTCTGCGATTTTCTTGTCGAGGATCTCCTCAATGGCGTTAGACCCGAGGGGAGCTCCAAGGAGGGTGCTGTTCTCGGCCCTAATGACATGGGCTCCAGGCAAGGCAGACCTTATTCTAGCTACGATGTCTGGGTTGGAGGAGACTACTTCACACTTGGAAGGGTTCAGGACGAGACCCAGGCTTACTTCTTGCTCCCTTATTTTCCTGATATCTGACAAGAGGTGGTCTACGGTGCCAGCTATAGTGCCATCATCCAAAAACCAGATGTTGAACTCGCTGGACAAGCTTTCGGTGATTTCTTTTAAGACTAAGCAGAAAAGAAGGGGAGCAAGAGGATCACCTTGCTGAACACCTTCACATGATCTGATTTCATGTTCACCAAAGAGCAGTTTTGACTCGCCACTGTAGCACGATAGTATGAACGGGTAGAGGGGCCGGAAATGGCGATGTACGGCACAAAGTACTGCATCTCTTCTTACCATGTTGAAGGCATTCTTAAAGTCCAGTTTGAGCAGGGCCTTTTCATCAGAAAGTAAAGAAAGAAATTAAACTCCAGTTGAAGAAATTTCAATATATATATATATATATATATATATATATATATATATATATATATATATATATATATATATATATATATATATATATATATATATATATATATATATATATATATATATATATATATATATATATATATATATCAATGATAACAGGATCTCACACACACACGCACACACATTCACAACCACACACTCTCACACGTGTGTGAAGAGACACAAGCGAACACGTAGATACAAACGGGTTTTGGAAGGACAAATCTTTTCCAACATACAATTATGACTTTGTTACTCGCATCACATAGGAAAGGTAAAGATGGGTAGACTATGATCACAGTAAATGTCGCAAAATGAACCCAAGTACCAAGTGCAATTTCAAGTGCAATTTCGCAAGACTTGTTCCTGATAGCATCCTCACTAGCCTACAGATTCATCAGGAACATTCTTCAGGAGTCAGAGAAGGAAAAAGACTTGGGGGTTGATATCACGCCAGACCTGTCTCCTGCAGCACATATCAAGCGGATAACATCAGCGGCATATGCCAGGCTGGCCAACATACGAACGGCATTCAGAAACTTGTGTAAAGAATCATTCAGAACCTTGTATACCACATATGTCAGGCCAATCCTGGAGTATGCAGCCCCAGCATGGAGTCCATATCTAGTCAAGGATAAGACTAAACTGGAAAAGGTTCAAAGGTTTGCCACCAGACTAGTACCCGAGCTGAGAGGTATGAGCTACGAGGAGAGACTACGGGAATTAAACCTCACTTCGCTGGAAGACAGAAGAGTTAGGGGGGACATGATCACCACATTCAAGATTCTGAAGGGAATTGATAGGGTAGATAAAGACACGCACAAGGGGACACAGGTGGAAACTGAGTGCCCAAATGAGCCACAGAGATATTAGAAAGAACTTTTTTAGTGTCAGAGTGGTTGACAAATGGAATGCATTAGGGGGTGATGTGGTGGAGGCTGACTCCATACACAGTTTCAAGTGTAGATATGATAGAGCCCAATAGGCTCAGGAATCTGTACACCTGTTGATTGACGGTTGAGAGGCGGGACCAAAGAGCCAGAGCTCAACCCCCGCAAACACAACTAGGTGAGTACAGACCAATTCCAGTACTTACACCAATACCCACACCAACG